GTCTTTGCAAAAATGATGCAGATATCCAAGTTTATCTATTTAAACATTTCCCGGATAAAGATTTAAAGTGAATCCATTGTGAATCGAAGATGGAGCTCTTTAAACTGTGACCAGGGCTCACTTAAAACTACGTTTATACAGTCCAGTAATATGCCAGAAAACCTGAGTTAAACCAAAGCTTTTGCTTGTTATGATTAGGGATAGTTGTGTTGCATTAAAATGTTTTCTATAAAAATTATAAGTAATAATTCATCCTATGTTCGTAGTTAGGAAAATCATAGTTGGTGTACGGAGATGTTATAAACCATGATATAGGGTTACCCACATACCTAAACATAGTTGGTATACGGAGATGTTATAAACAAAGATATAGGGTTACCCACATACCTAAACCTGCTGTACGGAGATGTTATAAACCAAGATCTAGGATTACCCAAAAACATAAACCTCTTCAAATATGAAAATTTCAGGGTTAAATTAGTCTTTAAATGGCTTATTTAAAGTTTTGGTGAAGAAAGAAAGAAGTTTATAGGTTGCAGGTTCGGAGTTATGAATATCAGGCAACAGACAATATTGATTTTGTAAAGTCTTCTCTGAACTCTCATCCTTTGTGGGTAACCCTGTATCTGAATCTTCACGACGACGACTTTTATACTCGCAAACATATGATGAATTATACAAGTAATATTTGATGCAAATTCTAAGAAAATATGAAGTATATGTTTATGGGAAGATATGCACAAATGTATGCTTCCGGAATGAATATCCGGTTAAATTCAAGGAATAATTTTTAGTTTCATCGTAGATATTAAGAACATCATTCTTAGTAGAAAAATTTAGTACGGGATGTCTTTATAACAAGGAAATCCTTCAAGAATCTTGGACATATTAGAAATTTCACTCTTCTGGGGGAAATACAGAAAAGGAATCGAGTATTTGCCACAAACTCTAATTTTCAAATCCTTGTATCTTTGCAACCAAATATCACGTGTTCAAAACATATTTCAAACTATCTTATCTAGGATGAGATATGTTGTTAATGACGACATAAATATATCTAAGGTTGCGTTTGATTTTATTCTAAAACTAGGCATATTTTAATTCAAATTTTAGTTGCTGCTCAATCTTTCAGCATTTTTACTTCGATAAAACAACAATAAATTTTTTTGCCGATTTGCAATTTTGAGGATTTTCTAAATTTTAGAAAATCTTAAATTTTTGGACTTAACTTTTTGTAATTCTGAGCATCCATAAACCTTTCCTGTGGTCATTTGAAGTTCCACACAAAATTTGGGCCCGATCGGTTGGATATAAACAAACAGACAGACAATCACAGATATTAATAAATATTAGTAAATAATAAACTAAATGATTTTCAGTGAAAAAAAACAAATCCTCTTTTGAAGGAGAAAAGGATTTAAGGATTAAACATCCATCAACAAATTGCATGCGGTCATCTTCAAGGTCTTATTTTTTGTGGATAACCCTGTACATGAAATTAAACTCATTCTGGGTTTGATCAATTGTAAAATATAGATATATTACTTTTCGAATCAGTTAATCACTTTGTATTGTTTAAACTTCTAATAAAATTCCTGTGGAAATTACCAACGACGACATTTGTTCTGAACATATTTCAGCTGGTTCTGAAATATAATAAAACCAACAATTGTTCTTTCTGATATGTTCTGTTTTCTGTCATTTTTTGTTATTTTCTATTGTTTTCTAATATTTCTGAAAAAAATTGAGTTTCATCACAAACTCAAAATTTCTAATCACTTATATCTTTGCAATCTGATACTGTTTTTTTGTCATCTAACAGAATTAAATAGTTTGAAATATCTAAAGTCTACGGACTAAAAATCAGAGTTTGTGGCAAAGACTCAATTCCTTTCTGATATTTTCTGATATATTCTGATATTTTCGACATATATTCTTGTATTTTCCCTTTTCCTAATATTTTCTGATATTTTAAAATGTTTTTAATAGATACTGACATTTTCTGATACTATCTATTATTTTCTGATATTTTCTAATATATTCTTAAATTCTCTAAAATATTCTGACTTTTTCGATAATGTTTCTCTTTTTTTCCCTTTTTTATAATATTTTCTGATATTTTTTAATATTTTCTAATATTTACTGACATTTTCTGATACTATCGAATATTTTCTGATATTTTCTGATTAACTATACCTGCAATCTGCATGGGTGTTCTCTCTAGAGATTAGATTTTACCAGATCGTGACAACAAAATATTCATACTGAAACTCACGAATAATGATTTTTAAAAATTTGAATAGAAAACAACATTTCTACATTCAAGAATTCTTCAGAAATCAATTTCAGTCATTTCACTGGTTTTCAGAACAAACTCTTGGATAAACAGGTTTTCAGAACAAACTCTTGGATAAACAGGTTTTCAGAACAAACCCTTGGATAAACAGGTTTTTAGAACAAACCCTTAGATAAACAGGTTTTTAGAACAAACTCTTGGATAAACAGGTTTTCAGAACAAACCCTTAGATAAACAGGTTTTCAGAACAAACTCTTGGATAAACAGGTTTTCAGAACAAACCCTTGGATAAACAGGTTGTTAGAACAAACCCTTAGATAAACAGGTTTTTAGAACAAACCCTTAGATAAACAGGTTTTCAGAACAAACTCTTGGATAAACAGGTTTTCAGAACAAACCCTTAGATAAACAGGTTTTTAGAACAAACCCTTGGATAAACAGGTTTTAGAACAAACCCTTGGATAAACAGGTTTTCAGAACAAACCCTTGGATAAACAGGTTTTAAGAACAAACCCTTGGATAAACAGGTTTTTAGAACAAACCCTTGGATAAACAGGTTTTTAGAACAAACCCTTGGATAAACAGGTTTTTAGAACAAACTCTTGGATAAACAGGTTTTTTGAACAAAAGCGTGCACATCATTTTAAAGTTTTGTTTTTGCATTCATACATTGTAATTATACATTGCATTGTATCTTTATTCTAGTCCTATCAAGACAACGCTTTATTGAGAATAAAAATTTGAAAAGCTTCAGTGATTCCAAATTATAAAGTATTTTTTATATGCTGCCCTGGAAAAAAGGTTTATATTAAAATATGTATATTGTTAAAACTAAAATCAAATAGTTTTGTTCTTGCAGAAAAATACGATTAGACTTCTGAGAAAGACGACAATTACAAAACCATTGAGATTTTACTAATAAATTATCTCTTCATTCTCAAATATACAGGCACAGATTGCACAGAAAGGACAATAGATGAATCGACAGAATTTTTTTTCTTTTTATGTGACCCGAGTTCGGAACTTTTGTGACCCGAGTTCGGAACTTTTGTGTGGATTATCTTAAAAGCTTGATATCAAAATCCAGGTTCACCGACATAGGATCAAACGACTTAGGGTCAAACGATACAGGGTCAACGACCCAGGTTCAAACAACATAGGGTCAAACGACCTAGGGTCAAACGACCTAGGGTCAAACGACATAGGGTCAAACGACAAACGGTCCAAAACGCGACGAAGGGTAAAACGACAAAGGGTCCAAGTGGAAAAACATATTTTATGTATTATTTCAGGGTTAGGTTATGTTAAGACAATTTCTGGGCCGACCGCTGCGGCTAGGACATGCTATGGGGCATAGCGCTGCGGCTAGTAGTTCAAATGAACATAAACCATAACATAAACATTTGAATTACTTTAGGGTTAAGTTAGGTTAAGACGATTTATGGGCCGAGCGCTGCAGCTAGGATAGGCTAGGGAGCCAAGCGTTGCAGCTATTGAACAAAAAAATAGTTCAAATTAACCAAAAATAATCAAAATGAAATTTTGCCCGCTTGTCGCACTTTTTGACCCTATGTCGTTTTACCCTGTGTTGTTTTACCCTTTGTCGCGTTTTTGACCGTTTGTCGTTTGACCCTAGGTCGTTTTTCCCTATGTCGTTTGACTCTATGGCATTTGACCCTATGTCGTTTGACCCTATGTCGTTTGACCCTATGTCGTTTGACCCTATGTCGTTTGACCCTATGTCGTTTGACCCTATGTCGTTTGACCCTATGTCGTTTGACCCTATGTCGTTTGACCCTATGTCGTTTGACTCTATGGCATTTGACCCTATGTCGTTTGACTCTGTGTCGTTTGTGTCGTTTGACCCTATGTCGTTTGACCCTGTGTCGTTTGACTCTATGTCGGGGAATCAAAATCCAATGTGGGCACTTTTAAATTCTAATTGATTGCCTCCTAAGTGTTGCTATCCCTACGGGAAATATTACACAGGAATTTAAGTAATTCCGTAGGTTTTTATAAAATGGAGATCAATGTTTGATCCTGAGATTTAAAACACAAAATCTCTTACTTTAAGGCTATTAATATCTCTCTTGTAGTGATTAGACCAAGCTTGGTTGGTTTTAAGGAACTTTAAAGGTTTAAGGACTTTTAACAAATTTCAAAACTGTTTATTCTAAAGGTTTCTTTTTATTACATAAGGCCCTAATTTTGACCCTAAGACAAAATACATGCAAAATATATGCAAAATATATGCACAATATATGCACAATATATGCACAATATATGCACAATATATGCACAATATATGCAAAATATGTGCAAAATATATGCACAATATATGCAAAATATATGCACAATATATGCAAAATATATGCACAATATATGCAAAATATATGCACAATATATGCACAATATATGCACAATATATGCACAATATATGCACAATATATGCACAATATATGCAAAATATAAGCAAAATATGTGCAAAATATATGCACAATATTAGCAAAAATCGAACCAAAAACAAAGAAAAAACGGCACAGTTTCCCTTATTTATTCTTTTAGGATAAAATATTGAAAAGTTTAATAAAAGTAAACTTTAACAGAATACATTAAACATGTGTTGCAAGTAACCAGTGAATTTGTGCGTTGCCTTTAAAAAGTCCAAAAAGCTGAAAAACTAACAAAACCGAACCAAGCTTTGTCCCATCACTCTTTTCCTTTCTGAGAAAACTGTGTGTCCCGAAACAATAATCTATGTTGCACATGTGTTCCCTTTGTTTTCAATATTTTTGTAGAAAATCAAATATAAACTTAGTTTGGAAACCTCGCAGCTTAACCTTAAATTCATTTAATAATTGGATGCAATAAAAATATTAAACAATTTTAGAACAGAAATTAACGTCAACAAAAGATGAATTAATTGTTTGACCTTCATGCTCTTCAACCTTCACTCTATCCAGTATTTTGGCAATATCCCAGATTTTAAATTAATCCATTAAAAACTACGAATCACAATACAATTGTTTACTTACAGAAATCGTTCAGATAGGGATGGAGAAAATTAATTTAAGATTTCAAACTGAAATCAGCATTTACCAGTCTTAATGTTTATTTACAAATGGGATTAATTTTTTTAATCTTTTTCTTTGGACTGTGTTTGTCGTCTTTGTTTTCTTGAATCATAGTTCATCAAAGCTCGGCGATAGGCTTGCGAGTTCATTTTTGTGCTCTCCTCCTTATTCCTCTCCCTGGAGTTATAGGATTCATCCTTGATTTTAGGATTCTCCGTTCTTACATCTTGAAAGTAAGGTTCCTCGTTGCTCCGAATTCTTTGTTCCTCTAAAATCTCCTGAGACCTCCTACTCTGGTAGTAGATATCATCCTTTTTCTGGTTTCCTGTCTTTCTGTTCATTTTCTCCTTAGAGAAGGTATGACCCCTGCTTCGTGCTCCGGGGGGTTTTCTAAAACTGTAAGCAGGGTTCGTCTCCCAGTATCCGTCCCACTGCTCAGTATCTCTCCTCTCTCCGGAGTCTACTGCCACAGCATCAAACCTTCGTCCTCCAACATTTTGCAGAATATTCTGGAAGGTTTGGCTGGATTTATGCGGAGAGGATTGGTTTGGTTTTCCTCCTTTGTACTTCTTATAATTCAAGCCTTCGAGTTGAGAATACTTATTTTTCTTATTCTTCTGTTCTCCTTTCTTAAAGACAGGGGCTCGGAGATAAGGTTGAGGATATTGGTTCTTTCTGTCTAAACTACTTTCCCCTTGCCCAGGATACTGATTTTTGTAAATATTTTGGGGTTGGTACGAATTCGAGTTGTATCCATTGTTTTCAGTGCTTGGAGGATTGTATCCTGAACCCGGTGCTGGAACCCCTGAACCCGAACCTGAATCAACATAATTATAATTGGTGTTGTAAACATTATAATCCAATTTTGGTTTTGAATCCATTTTTGATACTCCAGGCCTTCTGGAGACAGTGGTTGTCGGAGAAGTTGAGGTAGAAGAAATTGGCGAAAGGAAGTCTGGATAGGGAACCAGGGATAGCTTGGGTTTCTGATTGTAAGGTTTGAAAGTGTTGGTGGGCTGGTTGGAGATTGGATTGTAAGGTTTAAAGGGTTTCACCGGCCAAACAACGTCATCAAGCTCATTTTCTTCATCGTTGGATTCCGTTGCTTCATAGTCATCAACAAGGTTATCAGCTGACTCCTGTATTCCGTAGTTATCCGCTGACTCCTGTATTCCGTAGTTATCCCCTGACTCCTGTATTCCGTAGTTATGAGTAGATTCGTCAAAGACTTCTTCAGAAACCTCCAAACTCTGAGCAGTTGATTCGACTTGGGTCACAACACTTTGTGTAGAGGTCTCATAGTTCTGGAACAGTGTTCCCAAGCTATCAATGTGGTTGGTCCCGGAAATTCTATTGTAGTCTACACCTGGAGACGTAGGTTGGGTTACACTAGGATAGGTTTGAGATAGAGCTGGAGAAGTGTATATAATATAGGTTGGGGTAGGAGTAGGAGTAGGATAAGGATAAGGAGTAGGAGAAGGATAAGGAGTGGTATATTGAGTAGGAAGAGGATAATGAATAGGAGTAGGATATTGAGTAGGAGAAGGAAGAGGAGGTACGTTGTGTTGAGCTGCTTCAGCTGGGATTAAATTCACCGGAAACTCATCAAATATCTTCTCTCCGAACTCTGCCAAAAAAAAAAGATAAATAAAAAATCAAGATTATCAAATAATCTGAAAAAAGGATGAATCAAAGAAATATGGAAAAGATATGGATAAAGAAGGGGGTTGGAAAATGTGAGAAAATAATCAAAGAAATTGAGTCTTTGCCGTAAACTCTAATTTTCTAATCCCAAAATGAAACCCAAAATAGTAGACCTATGAATTCTGTTGGATTAAATAATTTAAGTTTTAAAAAAAAGATTTACACCATCGGGTTGCAACATTGTAGGGATTAGAAAATTATTTGAGTTCGTGGCAAAGAATCAATTCCTTTATGATAAGATATTGAAACCTTTAGAATTATCATTTCGCCAATACGATGAGAGAGAATAGGCCGGAGTAGTCACCTGTGAGAATCCCTGAAATTAAAATTTATAAATTTTGTTTAGAATTTGCTAAAATAACAGTCAGACGATCAGGGTTTGATCCGACGAGTAAATCCATCAAAGCATTAGAACAAGAATGAAAATTGTGAGATAAAACCTGTCTGTTGTATAGCCAATGTCCAAATACATTTTAATATCCAAAACCACTAAAAGAATTAAATATTTAACAACAACTGGACTGTACGCTATACAGAAAAGAAGAACTATCTACCTATGTCTGCCCCCTGAGTAAATTCTTTACCTTGTTTCCGTTAAGATTAAGATTAAAGTTTCCGTTCTGGTCGGAGTATTTTTGGGAGGAGAAACTGTTTGGTTTGGGAGTTGAGAACCCAGACTTAAATTTAGAGATAACTGAAGAAAATGGTCTGAAAGGTTTAGGTGTAGGTCCGCTAGAAACTGTACTGCTTTTCAAGTTTATTGATGGTAGAAGTTGTGCTAGACTTAAACCAGGACTAGGAGTTACGTAGGATGGAGAATTCTTATTGTACTGCAGTTCTCCGATATAGTTGCTACTGTACGGAGAAAACGGATCATCCCCTTTAATTTTCTCTGGCTCGAGCACATTTCTCTTGGTTTGGTATCCGGATCTAGGATTAGAAATGTAATCGTAAATATGTTCCATCCTCACGACTCATTGATTGTTTTTGATCTTCTAGAGCTTTTTTAATTATAAACTGTGCATCAAAAAAATGTGCGCGTCTCATAAAGTTTACAAACATTTTTGGTTTCACAAAATGTAATCTGATATCTGACTAAAATTCTTTATATTAGGTAACAAAAAGGCTGAGAACATTCAGAAATTAAAATTTTTAATGCGAGACACTATGTACTCTTGATTTTATTTAAAAACAGAAAATAAGTGTATAAAAAAAGTCACTTATCTTATAGAATTCTCAAACTTTTGCTTTTATCTAAAAATAATGACAAAAAAATTTAGTTCAGGAATTATCATGTTTAGCGTGACGTTTAAAACAGGATACATGCAAAAATATTACTCATTGATTCGTCCATAAGTACTTTGAGTAAAAAAAAGTTCTGAGCACTATTAGAACTGTATCTTACTCTGGTCCTGAACACTACTAGAACTGTATCCTACCCTAGTTCCGAGAACTATTAGAACTGTATCCTACCCTAGTTCTGAGCACTATTTGAACTGTATCCTACTCTAGTCCTGAACATTACTAGAACTGTATCCTACCCTAGTTCTGAGCACTACTAGAACTGTATCCTACCCTATTTCTAAGCACTACTAGAACTGTATCCTATCCTAGTTCTAAGCACTACTAGAACTGTATCCTACCCTAGTTCTAAGCACTACTAGAACTGTATCCTATCCTATTTCTAAACGCTACTAGAACTGTATCCTATCCTAGTTCTGAGCGCTACTAGCGTATCCTACCCTAGTTGTCCGAGCTGTGTAAGCTGTCCGAGGGGACCAAGATTCAGTTTTCCGACAATATCATCAAACCCTCGCCGAACCCCTTTAGCGAAGTTTTTATAAGAGTTGAAGAGCTCAATTGGAACTGAGGCAACAGCATCAGTTGCTTGACCAGGTATACTAGAAAACAATCAAGAAATTTATTCATCAAAAAAAGAGGAATTTCAAAAGAAAATTAAAACAAATAAAAAATTTCGTGTTTGAAAGATTTAAATATTCTTGATTTCCTTGAGATAAAATTTGATATTCCCTCGATATCTACTGTTCGATCCAGGTCGATATCAAGGTTGGGTTCAAGGAGTGCAATCCCAATATTTCTTTTCTCCGCCAGCTCCTGGCATAGAGAACTGTTCCCTGCTAGATCAGTATCACAGGGATGGGTGTATCCGACCTCATCTCCCAGTACAGGGGTAGTCAGAACAATGTAAATCTAGGAACAATAAAATTACAGATTAATGAAGTAATGAGGAGAAGAAACTGAGTTTGTGCCAAAAACTAAAATTGTCTACTCACATTTGAAAAAGTGCAACTTGAAAAATGAACATTTTGAAATGTTCCACTTGGGAAAATGCTAATGGACTCCATTTAATCCTATTTTAATAAAAGATTTGCCATGATGATCGTTTTTATGTTTTATTTACAAACCTGTTAAAGAAATTACACTGTACATCATTAAGAAACGAGAAGTTTTGTCAAAGGAATTAAATCTTTGCCACCAAGGGTGTAATGCAAGGAAAGTTAATTGCGGTCGTGTATACTCTGCGTACATATTGAAACCAGTTCTCTCTGGGCGGAATTTGTAAACAAGAATAGATGCATCAGCGTTCGTTTAGTATCCGAGGAGGTTAAAAGAATTAAATTTGATAATTTTGATAATTCACATAATAGTTTACTATGACCAGAATATTTCATTGATTTTTTATGTGAAAGATGGATCCCATGTCAGGCTTCGACATCCGTCTTGTGTTTACATTACCGCCCACAGACAGTGCACTGCAGTACAAAAGATGCGTACACTTCTGAAATAACCTTCCTTGCATTACACCCTTGTTTGCCACAAACTCTGATTTTCTAATCCCTATATCTTTGCAACCCACGGTTGAAGACTTAGATATATCAAACTATGAATTCTGTTTTATTTAATAACCTAAATTTGACATTTAAATGGTTTTCATCGTCAGGTTGCAAAAGATCTATGAATTAGAAAGTTTGAGTTTGTGACAAAGACTCCTTCAAAATACTAAATGAGAATTATAGATTTCTAAAAAATTGCTTACCAAGTACTTAATCATTTCTCATTTTTGTTAAGGGTTTCATTTAAACATGCTACATCTGAACATTTAAAATACTGTTTTTTTTTAAATAATCGTTTGATAATATTAGATTGATTTATTGTTATTTATACTTGACGGTCATCTGTCTCTACATTCACAATTGGAATAGATATACATTGTAAAGAACACATAACGTATTCATCTTTTTCACACCGCATTCAATTTTCATTTCTGTGCAGTTTAAGGGACTGTAAGCGTAATTCTAAGTGACCCTCCATGTAAAGATGACAATGCCCGATTCACAACGGTACCCTTGAAACCTTTATCTGATCAATAATGTGAAAGATATCTGTCGTTTTTCTAGGTTTAAAAGTGTACTTCTGATAATTTATATTATTTTTTTCTGCAGTAGAAATGCGCAGATCACTTTTAAAGATAAACCACAACTGAAAATACTCAATTCTCAAAATTATAAACATGAATATCTGATTCATACTTGATCAGTCCAAGCTTTCGTGTGGAGGGTCACTAAAATTTACGCTTTTACTTCATGTAAAATAATCATCATTTTTGACGAAGATGAATAAAAAATGAAAAAGATGAAAAAGATGTACACTTGGCTTCAATCGCATGATCCTAACCGGTCTAATGTAGCTGTACTATACATTCACTTGCACTGACCAGTCTAAACTATACCCATTGTAAAGTCGACGTTTTATACAACAAATATAGGTCGGCAGGACCTATGTGTGCAAATTAAGAAACCAATAAAAATTGAAGTTTATTAAATACATTCAAATATAAATAATAATAGCTATCAGAATATAATTAATAATAAAGATGAATTTGTAAACAATAATAAAGATGAATTTGTATACAATAATAAAGATGAATTTGTAAACAATAATAAAGATGAATTTGTAAACATTAATAAAGTTGTAAACAATAATAAAGATGAATTTGTAAACAATAATAAAGATGAATTTGTAAACAATACTAAAGATAAATTTGTAAACAATAATAAAGATGAATTTGTAAACAATAATAAAGATGAAAATAAAGACGAGCGAGACTAAACTTTTTCTATAAAAGTTAACCGAGACAACTTGCTAAACAAAGCTACGCACATTGAGGCAAATCGGTCAAGGGGTTCCTGAGTTATGATCAGACATACAAACAAACACAAAGACAGACAAAACAGAGATTACTACTTCATATATATAGAATATAGATGATACAAATGAAAATTTGAATGATGATGATCAAGATGAAAATTTATATAATGATAAAAGATGGACAAAATCAAACTTCAATATCTGCACACTGAAACTTTCTCATCAAATTAAAGTGTCGCTAAGCCTTTGCCTCACCAACTCACTTTTACTTTTTTTAACAAGCCCTATGTCCCTGAAGTTCAGTGAACTGCATCAACTGAAATGTAAATAATATAAACACTATGTATAATGCCTGAAATACAAAAACTAACTGAATATAAAAATATGAAAAATCAGTTGAATGGAAAATCCCTCACCTTCATTAATATAGAACCATCCTCTTCCGTTCCAGGTCATTTATTTGGAAACCATGCAGTATTTAGAATAATAATTATAATAATAATAGTAACTATTTCATATTTTTTGTAGTATTAATTCAACTTTAAAAACACGTCTTTTTAGTTTCCTCTTCAAAGTTATATTTTTTTTATTTTTTAAAATCCCAATATGAAATATATACGTGTGTATTGTGTAAGTTGTTCTAAAAAAGGTTCCGTAAGTTTCCAAGCGTAATGATTTTTTTTAATTAATGAAAAATGAATGACCTTGTAGTTAGTCCTACATCTAATTAATTTCTACAACTTTTGGCAAAAATTCGTAAAATTCACGGATAGACTTTGATGAAAGGGGGAGAGTTGGGACGTAAAATTGTTCGGTTTTTGTTTCCGGACCCTTCAGGTCTTGAGCATATTTCCGGATCTCTCTGGTCTTGAGCATATAGCAAAAAAAATTTTATTTCAACTATTAACTGAACTTTAAAGTCTGTCACTATAATTGGTAAGTCAGCCTTTACTTTCGAGTTCGTTCTGACACATGAAAATGCAGAATATCTATATTTTCTCTTTAATACTTTAAGTTTGACTTTATGTTAAAAAACTAAATTTGGATGTTTTTTTGAAAAAAAGAAATCAGTGACTGATCGACTTTATTCAGATAAATACGTGTTAGAAATTATTTGCGACAAACTCAAATTTTCAAATCCCTATATTTTTGCAACCTGGTGGTGTAAACCTTAGATATATCAAACTTGATCTAACAGAATAATAGCTTTAAATATCAAAGGTCTAATACGTTGGGTTGCAAAGATATAGGGGTTAGAAAATCAGAGTTTGTGGCAAAAACTCAGTTCCTTTCGGGTATTTCGCATATTTGACAAACCATGATGGATTAAAATTTTGAATGTCTAAATATAATTGTTCACAAAGAATTATAAAAACGGAAATGCCCGGTTTCGCTCCAGTGCATGAAGCTTCGTCCTGTGAAATATTAGTTCACGTCCTATAGAATTCCGTAAAGAGTTGATAGATCTGAGACAATAGAAGATATGTGGAACCAGATTCCGTCCTCATAGGATCGTGTCATGTATTAACGCATGGTCTAGAACAATTTGAACCTTGGATGCTTGGTGTTTATCCTAACTTCGACAAGGCATCAAGGGACGTATAGACTATTTCAAGTGACACTCCGTCATCTCTAGATTGGCATTTTAGAACGTTATTATACTTTAGGTCTGTTCCCTCTTCATTATATCCCAACCTGGTCCCTGGTCCCCTCCACTCTGTACCTCCTGGTCCCCTCCACTCTGTACCTCCTGGTCCCCTCCAATAGTCTGTACGCCACAAACAAACCGAAACCATGCACAAACCAATGCAACCAGTGCTTACTTAAAATTAAGTCGCAATAGATTGGCAACCATCAGTTTTAACATACGATTATCATTCTATACAAACATAGTTGGTTCGGTTTATTATTAATATGTGAAATTAACTGTTATTAAGTTAAACTTTGATTTATTTGATAAAAAAACAAGATTTTGTTCAGAAAATATGGGCAATTCAGAGTCAATAGCAACAAGAGTTACGGTAAGAATATAAATGTAAATAGTAACTAATTGTAACAGTTGGTAATTTCATAGTAGACGGTTCTTGGACCCCCCCCCCCCTGCATCCCCTCCAATCAATTTTTTACATGGATCTCATTCTAATATGTATCACATGGAATTGTTAATGTGGCCGCAGCGCCAGGCCCCCTCGGCTGGCCTAGCCGCTGCGCTCGGCCCAGAAATTGTCTTAACCTACCCCAACCCTAAATAATAAAAAATAACTTTAAATTCTGAGAAGTAGTCATTTAGTCTCAAAACCTCAAATGAAGCATGTAAACCTGTTATGTTTCAAATATAGGGATATACCTAATTCCCTTATAGAATGAAGTTGAAACAACTGTTCTTATTTCAACCACTTCTGACGTAATTATAAATGTCCATCTTTAAGTAGGACTTTGTATAAAACACAGTGGACTAGAATCAATTATAATTCGAACCGGACCAACTCCTAGTATCCGCCCTATTGACGCGCAGCTTGTACCGTCCCGACCTTATCCTATGTCGGCCCGGTAACATTGCTTTTTATGTCTGACATTGTGTTGAAATGGGAGAGTTCGCCCCATGCAGGAGTCCGCTCCATGCATGACACCGCCCTAATCATAGGCCTTTTTGACCAACCCAACTAGTCACTAGCTTAGTTTAGTGTGCAAATATAACCGTGGATAAAAAATGAAAAAATTGATTTAAAAATTAAGGAAGGGAAGGTTCGGTTTACCGTGAACGGGAAGGTTTGTGAGGTCGGATCTGAGACTCCTCCTGAAACTAAACTGGTTTCGTATCTCCGGGAAACTCTGTTGTTGACCGGAACCAAGCTGAGCTGCGGAGAAGGAGGATGTGGGACGTGTATAGTGACGGTCAGCTATCTCAACCCGGGAACAGGAATGCCGGTCACTAGACCGGTCAACTCGGTAGGAAATAGTACAGAATAAAAGACAGGTTACCCACAAAGGATGAGACTGTAAAGACGACATGAAATTCTTAACATATGAATATAACAATGTTAAGCTAAACCTTATGACCAGAACATTGTCTTTTAATGGTCTATTTAATGACATGGCACAGAAAGAAACCAGTTTACAGTAAATGTAAGGAAAAGGATGCCAATTTTTTTCAATTGTGGGTAACCCTGTATAAAACAGGGTGACAAACGAAAAGGATTAAGAGACGACTTTTTATATTCTTTTATCCACCTTCACATTTTTCGGAATTGCTCATAATACAGAACGATCTAGAAAACAGTGGAATAAAGATCGGATATCTTCAAATTTTACTTCAGAAATGTCAATAATCATTTTGTAATTTGCAATTGTTGCAACTTATATAGTCCTTTAAAAGGGCACTATTTTGGATTACAAAATTACAAAATAACAAAATAACAAAATAACAAAACTAAAAAATTACAAAATAACAAAATTGCAAAACTACAAAATTACAAAATTACAAAATTACAAAATTACAAAATTACAAAATTACAAAATTACAAAATTTGAGGGAAAATTACAAAATTACAAAATTTCATAATTTGAGGGAAAATAAGCGAAGATAATTCCACTGCTTTTTTTGGTTCGCAGTGTAATGTTGTGTATAGTATTCCAATTAGAATAATTAAAACGGAAACTCTCACTCTAGGAATTTTAAAAGCAACATTTGTAAGCCTCAACATTGGACGCAAATATTAAGAAATTTGACCATATTACGATAGATAAAAAGATTAAATATAAACGAAAAATTGTCTCCATTTTTAATACCCTCTGTGGCATCTAACATTGTGTTGAATCATTGTCGTCTTTTTTATTTTCCATGTCTATTGACACACTCTTAAATAATTAACATATTAGAAATTTTAAATTTGTTTTCATCATTAGTTTGCCTACGACGTAAATTCATCATTGCAATATTTCTAGTGCTTAACCAGAGTATTGAGCTGTGATGGTTGGGAGATATCTACTATAGAGCATCTTGGAAGCAAAAGAAAGGGTTTACATCCTCTCCAGGTATTATCTTTAACTGAGAGAATTAATAATAACATTACGTGAGAAAAGTTGTTACTTTTTCGCCGCCGACCATGTCATTGAAAACTAACCAGGAGAAGAAGGTCAAATTCAATTGACCTAACTGGTTTGACTTTGTACCCCCGTTACTCCTCTCGTTCTGATTTTACGGACAAGCATGAGAAAGGCAAATGTATTCGCTTACATATTAGCAATTCAAAACATTTCTGTTCTTTTCAATGGCGCTTGAATAAAGAGGAGTTAAAATAAACAATCATAAGATTTCAATCTTACGAGCAGTTTACTTTAGCTTGACGTGGTTTTTGATCTGTGGCAGCAACAATTTACAAAACTCAGTTTAATAATAAGTGTAATAACGGCAATTTTTTACACCTCGTCGTGTGAAACTTGAAAGGGGTGGGGGGGGGGGGAAAAATCGTTTTATTTTGTTTATGTTTTTATTCTTAAATAATAGATGGTATATCTAGTCTACGTTGGCAGCGTTCAATGGAACCCAATGTGGATTCTGTAGTCCTGGGATGATAATGACTGTTAACAGGTTCATATTTAGATTTAGATAAAAATTTATAAATAAAAATATGTTGGTAGAAATTTTATACACTGGTCGGCGATTATATCAATACAATGCAGACGACTTTCTTAATCGTGCTTTGAACCCAAACATAAATTACAATGTTTTCATGTAAGCGAAGGGATGCTGTTAAATGCCAACTGTAAGTTTATGTTTATGTTTATGTTTATGTTTATATGTCTCTTCTGTTCGATAGCTTGATATAAATCACAATTGAAATAGAAAGTCGTCTTTACTGTATTGATATATACGACCACAACTGTCTCATACCAAAAAGCGCGTAACGGTAAGAATATACTAAGCATGAATTGGTGTGAACGAACGATGTTCAACCATCATCTTTTTGGATTATTAACTTTGATAAACATTTTTCAGTGTACTTCGAGAGAACGAGTCTCCGAGCATGGAAACTCTGGAGAAAAGGAAACCTTTAAACCTCTGTACACATATCTATACCCCTTATCCTCTGAGCCCGAAACTTGAGACAGAGTATCGTAAAGAAACCCAGTATCGGAAACCCAGTTTCATGAATGGGGTCAGACAGTTTTGTAGATATTAATATTTTTGCTAAGAAATATTAATTCATGTGGTTTCTTTGCGTTCTCTTTTTGTTTTCTGATTTCTTAAATTAAAATTTGCATGAACGAATAGACCCCCCAAAAAAAGAAACTCGTTCAACGATTTCAAATTTCCGGCTCTGCCAAAACCCCATACACTGCTTAGTTCCTCTGAACACCTATGCTTCAAAGTCCCTTAAGCTCTTTACCCCTGAGCCCTGAGATTTTAGAAGAAGAATGCGCTGATCTGCTCCCATGTACATTGTAATCTGTGTTCTTCAAATCTGTATCTGCAAAAAGCTTTCTTTGATCGAATATTATCTTCACTATTTTGTACGAAAACAAAATATATCACGTAATTATAAAAGGAATTTAGTTTGATGGTCCATGTAACTAGTATTGATGGAAACATATGTCGATGCACTGGTTACAGACCTATCCTGGATGCATTCAAATCCTTTGCCGGTACTCCTGGGACCAGTTGTTCAGGAGACCCGGATACTAAGGACATTGTTCCAGATATAGAAGATATAGGTGAGAGAAAAAATATGAATCTACAGGATTTTTTCACATATATTTTATATCTAGGTTGGGTTTGTCCTCAAAAGAATAACTTCAACCCATCTCCGGATGAAGTTTACATAGAGACCAGTTCTGGTCGCTGGTATAGTCCTAACAACTTGGAGAACCTTCTCTCCGTCCTGAAACTGGTTCCGGAAGAGTATTATACCCTGGTAGCTGGGAGTACTGGACCCGGAGTATACAAGGACGATAATTTTCTTGTCCAACATTTTATAGATGTTTCTAAGGTTGGCAATATGATATGAGTCATGACGAAAAATCAAAGGAATTGAGCCTTTCCATTAACTTTACTTGCAAATCCCTATATCTTTGCAACCTTTGATATTTCAAACTTAGATTATTTGGTCTAATAGAATTCTAAGATTAAAATATCTAAGGTCTGACATTGGGGTGCAAAGATATTGGAATTCAAAAATCAGAGTTTGACCTAGAACAAAATTGCAAAAATGTAAAACACGCTCATAATTTTTTTTACAGATTGTTGAACTTCGGTCTCATGCAGAGTCTCCGCTAGAGCTCGGCGGAGGGATAACAATACACGATTCTATATCTATATTAAGGTAAGTACTGAGTAGATTGTAAAAAAAATCTTCCTTGAAGGTCGTCTTTCTTTCAGAAATATTTGTTGGAAACGACTGTGGTATTGGAAAAAAATTCTCAAAAGAATGTTTGATAAAATGTTGACAAAAAATGACATAAGAATAGTTTAGCTAAAAAGTTTAGTATTTGATAAATTTGTACTTTACTTAATGATATTCGTCATAAGATTAAAAAATGTCTAGCTCTTTAATTCAATTACACAGAAATAATTTTAGAAAGGTGAGTAGATTGTATCCTGAGAAGTATGGGTATACAGAACAGGTTCGTTTTTATCTTGCACTTTCGTGGAATTTTAAAATTGGCGGATTTTTAAAAATATTTCTACTTTGGTTTGTCAGGGCTTTTGAAGATATATCTTTAGGTTGCAGAACACCTGGAGAAGGTTGCAAACCTTGCCGTTAGATCAGTTGGAACCCTGGCAGGGAACCTAGAGCTCAAACGGAGACATAGGAACAGATTTTATTCTTAACTCATTTTATTTTTTCTTAGTTCTCTTCTAATTCTCTTCTAGATCTTCTACCGTTTCCCTCTAATTTTTATAGTTTTTTTCTAGTTTGTCTCTAATTCTCTTCTAGTTTTTGCGCTAATTCTCTTCTAGTTTTACTCTAGTTCTCTTCTAGTTTTATTTTTGTTTCCTCTAATTCTCATCTAGTTATCTCCTAGTTTTCCTCTGGTTCTCTTCTAATTCTCTTCAAGTTTTTTTAAAGTTCTTCCATAGTTCTCTAATATATCTTTAATATCTTCTCTGGTTTTCCTCTAGTTTTATTCTAGTTCTCCTCTACTTCTCTTCTAGTTTTTCTCTGGTTTTCCTCTAGCTCTCTCCTAGTTTTCCCCTAGCTCTCTCCTAGTTTTCCTGTAGCTCTCTCTTACTTTACCTCTAGCTCTCTCCTAGTTTTCCTCTAGTTTTTCTCTTTGATGTAAGTTATTCTTGAGTAGAAAATTTTTAATCTAAATATGTTACAGATCCTTCCCGTCGGACGTTTTTACTCTTCTAGAGACAGTGGGAGCAAGTATTGAGGTTGTATCACCAACCTCCAAGGTTTCGTGCTCTCCATCTGAGTATCTGGAAATCCAACAGTCCAAACAGGAAAAACTAGTATTCGAAAGTTTTATATTTTATTTAAAAACCCAAATAATCAAAAATAATATCTCTCTCTTTAGGTTATTGTGAAAATACGGTTTCCTGCTCTCTCAGAGAAATGTCATTTTCAGTCCTACAAGATCAGCTCTCGAAAGGTTAATGCACATGCGTATATTTCTGCAGGATTCCTTGCAAAAACTGAACCTGGAACCTTTATGCTGCTTGATAAACCTAATCTCGTGTTTACCGGAGTATCCGGAGATTTAATCCGAGCAGTAGAAACAGAGAAACTCCTGGAGAACCAGGATTTGTCTGATCAGGCTGTTCTAGATTCAGCTCTCAAATCTCTGGGTTCAGAGATAACTCCGGATCCTGATCCCAGAAGTTCGGATCCAGCTTTTAGAGTTGGTTTAGTTCAGGCTTTATTCTACAGGTTACTTATTTTCAGCACAGTTTCAAATTTCTGTTTTTTCTTTTTGATCAATTTTATTTTCATCACAAAATTTGTTTATTTTAGGTTCGTTCTGAATCTTCTGGGCGACAAGGTTCCATCCAACCTGAGATCAGGCGTTCAACCTCTTCAGAGAGGAGTTAGTCACGGTGTTCAGGAGTTTGAAACTGATCCCTCTCTTTATCCGATAAATAAACCGGTTCAGAAACTGGAGGTTAGTTAATTGTCATATTTTGCATTGCTGGGACATTTCGTCGTAATTTCAGGGGACCTCCCAATTATAGAGTGGCATATTCGATTCACAGTTGTACCATTAAAAGCTTTGAATGATCACGAATAAATGAGACATCCATGTTTTTAAACATTGATAGTTGATTTTTTAAAATTGCGGTTTCTCTATAAAAGTGTCTTGCAGATTTCTTCTAAAGAAACACAATTTGATTTTTTGGATGTATATATTTATCATATATTCATACAAGAGGGTCCTTCCTACACTTAACCTTACAATTTACAAGAACCTTGAGGAAATTTTAAATTTAAAGAAAGGAAGAAGACGACCTTACTCCACTTTTTTTTGGTTATTACTGTATGAATATTTAATAAATATTTTGCAGGCAGAATCTCAGTGCTCAGGAGAAGCTGAATATACTGGAGACAAACCAGTTTTCCACAACCAACTCTACGCAGCATTTGTTCTATCTACACAGGTATTAACCAACTCTACGCAGCATTTGTTATATCTACATTCTACACAGGTATTAACCAACTCTACGCAGCATTTGTTCTATCTACACAGGTATTAACCAACCCTACGCAGCATTTGTTCTATCTACACAGGTATTAACCAACTCTACGCAGAATTTGTTCTATCTACACAGGTATTAACCAACTCTATGCAGTATTTGTTCTATCTACACAGGTATTAACCAACTCTATGCAGTATTTGTTCTATCTACACAGGTATTAACCAACTCTACGCAGCATTTGTTCTATCTACACAGGTATTAACCAACTCTACGCAGCATTTGTTATATCTACATTCTACACAGGTATTAACCAACTCTACGCAGCATTTGTTCTATCTACACAGGTATTACAGGTATTAACCAATACTACTGAAGAAATCTACGCAGTTAAAACAACAAACTCGCAACAAAGTAAAGAAAAGTCACGTAACGCATTCTTGATTGGTAAATTGTTCCCAATTATATGCTGTTTTTGTGTTGCTATAAATTCTATTATATAAATATAATAAGGTCGTAACATTTGCATAGAAATGACTTAACTCCAAAGTGGAATCTTTTAATTTGAAGCGTCCAAGTGCCTAATCTGTGAATAACAGATGACTTGTTTTTTGAATTATATAAACGGAATTAACAAAATCTGCGACTGCAAAATAGTCGCGGATAAGTGCTTCCTAAAGTGATTCATTACACGATAGTTCCGACCTCGGAGGTACGGATTGAACTACTATTCTAGTATTGCTAAGAATGCATTAAACAGTAGTTCAGCTATCCCCATATACATGGTGTCCCACGAAACGTAACAGTTGTGAATAGTTGTTTTTCCCGAAATTTGTTAAGTTGTTTGAAACCAAAGAAAATAATAAAAATATTCAGTGTCAGTCATATTATAGTAATTTGTATTTCAAAGTAAAATATATTTGAGTAAAAGATTTTTTGAAACAAAATAAACTGCAAAAAGTCTTTAATATCTAAAACAGTATATGGAAGAAGACATTTAAAACTATTCACCAACTTTCATGTTTCGTGGGACACCCTGTAGGTGAAAAACCTCTCGAATCTTGCTATTTATTTATTCTGACCTGCGGTACTAGTTCTACTGTTCTACATTGTCTTTTGGTATTTAGTATTTTAATTATCGGAGTTGAAATCCTGTTCATTTCTATTCCCATGATTACAGGGTTACCCACAAATAATAAGACTGTAAAGACGACCTAAAACTCTTGAAATCTGATGATTCCAAGCTTTAATGCCATGAATATAATCTTTTTGTGCATGCTTATTCAATGATTAGTAAAAGAAAAAACAAGTTTACAGTTGCAAGGAAATATTAACTTAAGAAAATATATAGTATAAATTCTGTATAGTCGTTATTGAAGTCTCATCCTTTTTGGGTAACCCTGTATGTTAGTTAGAGTCTGTATATGTACAGTAAAATTAATTTTTCTCCCAGGCAAACTGTGACTTAGAAAGCGTAGATCCCTCTGCTGCTCTGGATCTACCTGGAGTTGTTGGGTTTATGAGCCAGGAAGATATCTCAGGAGACAATAATTTCTCCCAAACCAAACCCTGGAAGGAAGAGATATTTGCAACTAAAAAAGTTCTGTACGCAGGACAAGCTGTAGGTAAGGGATTCATATGTAATATACAGGATGTCTGACGAAACATGACAGTAGCGGACGACTTGAAAGTCGTCTTTGAACTTTAAATTTATTTGCGACATTCAGTCGTGATCCTACCTTCACATTTATGGTTCTTGAAACAATAACCACAAAATTCCCCCAGTCCTGTCATTTCCAAAATGTGGTCTGCCTTTTTAGTGCCGTCAATATTACCCGAGATGTTGAGAATTTCGTTCAGATTTAAATTTTATTAAATAAAACCTAAATTGTCGAAATCTGAACAAAATTCTTCATATCTCGGGTAATATTGAAAGCACAGAAAGGCAGACCACAATTGAAAAAGCCAACACCATGTGTATTTTATAATCATTAATCAATTAGAATTTTAAAATTAGGTTTACAAATAAATGCAGCAAATTATATCAAAGACGACCTTCAATTCGTCTTGCTACTGTAATGTTTCGTGGTACACGAGGTGCACCCTGTACAATTGTACATGAATAAAATGACGTTCAAAGGGGATGTAAACTTATTTCAAGTGACCCTGAATTTAAAGAGGTGTATGCCTGAAAAAAAACATTACCTAATACCTATGAAACCTTTATCTGATTACTGATGTGTAAGATATCGTTGTTTTTCTAGCTTAAAAAGCATTTAATTCCGATAACTCTTTCATTGTTGTCCTTAAGCACACATGTTTGATATTCTTTGTTCCTCCAGGATTACTAGTTGCAGAGAATGAAGAGGTTGCAAGAAAAGCTTCCAAGTTGGTCAAGATATCGTACACAAATATCCAGGAACCAGTTCTCACTTTACAGGAGGCAATCAAGCACCCTGAGAAAATAGAACCTACCGGAGATCCTATAGTAGAAGGGGATGTGGAGAAGGAGCTGAAAGGTTCTGTTAAGACTGTGTCTGGAGAATTTGAGATTGGATCCCAGTATCCCTTCCATCTGGAGACTCAGATCTGCATATCTGTTCCTAAGTATTATTTTTTTATTGCTTCTTATATCTATATATATATATACTCTGCTTGTATGTCTGTTTGTTTGTAACTGTTACACGTAAAAACGGCTTAACCAATCAAGTCCAATTTTTGTGGGACCTCACATTACCCCAGGGAAATTTTTGAATCCTGGATACTTTTACTTATAAGAAATAGTTATTTTGAAAATTTTTTGAAAATCCACGAAAAAATATTATTAAATCCGCAAAAAATGTTTTATTGTTTTACATCTTAAAGCCTAGTAATTCAAATATTTAAGTTTTGAAAATATTATTTAGAGAGGACGGGTTCGATATCTACTGTTCAACCCAGGACATTGACAAGGTTCAGACTACAGTTGCATCTGTACTAGGAGTTCAGCTCAAGGATATAAATATCAGGGAAGACTCCGGTTCTTCAATAAATAAGATCCGCTAGATCAAGAAATCAAATTAAACTAATAAGACATATTTTTTTATTTTAAAGTTATTGTAAACCGGAGTTTTGTTTAGTGTCAAGAGGTTAGGAGGAGCTTTTGGAGCCAAGATTAGTAGACCTAATCAGGAACAAACTAGCAAAAAATTAAACTTTTTTAACATCCCATGTGATGGCTTCTTACACAGTTAACTTAAACAATAAAAACTTTCTTTTTTTACATTTATCTTTGAATATGGGTCTTAACAAATTTTATTGCAAAATTGCATAAAAAATCATAGCAGCTTCTGGTTTTTTTATATCTCTTTTTTTCTTAAAATCTCCATTTTTATTGTTCTTGTTTTGCAAAATTTTTGTTGTGATCTTCTCGCAAAGCCAATATTTTACAGGTTTTATAGCTGCTCCTCGATGACCTTGCTTTCTCAACTTTTCTGATTCAGCCACTAAACTCAAACACATGTTTCTGATGCATTCTCTATTCAGTGTAAAGTGGATGGGGGGGGGCGTCTCCCAGCCCTATATTTTTTTATAACTGAAAAGGGGTTCTCTAATGGTATATCCATTTGCTAACGGGGTAAAAGTTGAGAGTGTAGAGATTATCATGGTAGAGTTCCCTTCCAGTTTTCCGGTTCAATTTCCTTTTTGATTCTTGTTTCTAGTAATTTCTCACTTTTGGGTATCTCAGAATAGCTCTTAGTGATGTTGAGTTCTGGAACTTTGGGTAATAGGAGGTTGAGGATAGGTGAGGAGGGAGTGGGGTATCAGGAGTGCTTGGTTAAAAACACTCAATTTTTTTTCTCGCTTTATACTGAATTCTCAATTTCAGCGGAGTTTGAAAAGGTTTTTCCCATTGCATTGGGGAGTTGTGGCTTTGCGGCTCAGAATGTGTCATTTTCGACAGTAGTCCGTTCTTTATAGTGTATTGCAGCCTGCAGAGTAGAAATTATTGTGCATGGTTACAAACCTCTCAGGATTCTTCTTTCTATGTTTCTATTTTTCTTGATTCTGGCGAGAGAGAGGGGAAGAAATGGAGAAAGACCCAAACTCTGTACTAATATTTTCTTTGTTTTCCTGTTTTAAGGTGCAGGTGTCGCCATGTTTTTTGCACAGTGTTTCCCGGTTATATGTTCTGCTACTCAGAGCAGAGCACTGAAGTCTAGGTCTGAACCGTTCTGGTGACAGCACACAACTCCAGAACAATAAAAACTTTTTAAAACCGTTTTTGTTATGTTTTGTAATGCACAGATAGCTGCTGCCTGTGCACTTGCGTCCAAGAAGTTTAATAGGCCGGTCAAACTCCAGCTGGACTTGAAGACAAACATGGAGATGATAGGGAAACGGCTGCCCTTCCTCGCTAGGTGAAAATATAGGCTTTGAGAAGTTTAAATCAATTTGACAAACAGCAAGAGGCTTATTACTGTTAAATGAGTTACTTATCTTCTATTCTTGAAACTTGGATTTTTAAGCCTAATTTGATTTAGGATCAAATGAGATTCTTAAAAGTATGTAAGTAAGATTTATACCATCGTAAAATATTTGTTTGAGAAAACAAAAGAATTGTCAAGATTTATTTTTGAGTTTTCTCTCGCTAAACGTTTTATAAAATCCGTATTTTTAACAATTTTTAGATCAGATCATATTTAGAGCCAATGATTAAGAAAGATTTAAGATAGTTTATCTATATCAGGTACAAGGTTGGAGTAGATGACTCTGGAACCCTGACAGGGGTTCAGATTAATATCTTTTGTGACTCTGGATCCTCGCACAATGAATTTACAGCTGACGCAGCAGTTTTCTTTGCAAAACTCTGTTATCAAGCAAAGGTACATTTTGGTAAAATTTTCCCAAATATTTGCTTTATGCTCTTGAAAAGCTTTTGTGAAACTAGGAAAAAGTTCAAATGCAATATAGTGGACGAGAACTCAATGTTTTGTCTGCTTTGACGGTCTGTTGTTTTTGTTCCTAATTTTCGAGTAGATTTGTCTTTTTCCATTTCCACCATCTTTTTCCCACTCAAATAGGCCAACTTACTTCCTGATCTAGTTTTCGAATCAAAAGTCAAAATGTTCAGATATTTTAATTCCAAGAATCTTATAATTCTGTTTAGGCCTGGAATCTGGTTCCACAAAGTGCACTCACCAATACTCCCTCAAATACTTACATCCGGGCTCCAGGTACTTACATCCGGGCTCCAGGTACTTACATCCGGGCTCCAGGTACTCTTACATCCGGGCTCCAGGTACTTACATCCGGGCTCCAGGTGCTTACATCCGGGCTCCAGGTACTTACATCCGGGCTCCAGGTACTTACATCCGGGCTCCAGGTACTATCATCCGGGCTCCAGGTACTTACATCCGGGCTCCAGGTACTATCATCCGGGCTCCAGGTACTATCATCCGGGCTCCAGGTTATTTTAGTTATTTTTAAAGGGACTGTCGACGTAATTTTAGTTAATCCTTAATTTTAAAGAAGGAAATGCCCGGTACTCATTAAACCTTAGTCTGTGGAAAAAGAATGAAGATATCCATTAGACCTGAATTTGCAACAGAGTGAAAACTTAATTTCAAATTATACAATTTAGCAAAAACAAAGCCAGGGGGAGAGGAGCACAGATGTATGTCAAGGTTTTATTTTACTGTTTATTTCTAGTTATATCTTGTGTCATTGTCACGTAAATATGATTATATGATAGGTAGGATTTGGGCGTGAAAAGTTTTTTATAGTAGATAAAAGGATTTTATTTTTTGAAGTCAAACTGATCTCCATGTCCAGGAACTACTCAGGGTCACGCTATCATGGAGAATATCATGGAACACCTGGCAGCTGAGACAGGGACGGATCCATTGGAACTCCGACTCCACAATATACCTGAGGATCCAAGCTATGATTCATTACGGTAGGCAATTCTCTAACATATTTGCCATATACTGTGCACCGACAAAATTTATTTTTTACATAATAATAAATTGTAGATTATGCTCATCAGTTAAAGAGATGAAACTTCAGAAACGACTGTACAGAACATATTCAGTCTTTTTCCTCACATTTTTATTGTTACATCTGAAAAGCTTTTTTTTCAAATTCCTCTAATATACCACTAAAAGATCATATCAAAATTTAAACTTTAGATCGTTTTTTGCGTTTCATATTGTGTTTTAATATGGCTTTTCCTTAGTGTGTACTCCTGTACCATGTGAAAATAGTCACCAAGCCTTAAATAATAAAATTCCTTTATTTCAGAGAAATTATCAAGAAACTTCGAGAATCCTCCGAATATGACCTGAAAAAACAACAAGTTTTGGATTTCAATCAGGTGAAGTGAATTAGATTTAATTCATGCTCTTTTCAAAGTAACCTCATTCGTTTTAACTTCATTGATTCATATTCATAATAATAATAAAAAAGAACTAAACACTTGCCTTCAACTAAATACAGATGATTAAATGGTAAGCTTGAAATATCAAAGGTTTCTAGGATAAAGTGATAAAAAACCAGAGTTTGAAGCGAGAGATTCGAATTGATTTGAAACTATTTTAGAATAATCGATGGAAGAAGAAAGGACTCTCCTTGGTTCCTATAAACTACCGCCACGACTACTATGGATCAAGATTCAACGTTCTTATCTCCGTGTATAGGAGGGACGGATCAGTTGCAGTATCTCATGGTGGGATAGAGATGGGACAAGGAATTAATACCAAGGTTCAGTTTAAAATAAAATAATTACAACAAATAAGAATTATTAAATCAGGTTTATGTTTCCAGGTTTGCCAGGTGGTTGCGAAGGAGCTAGGTATATCGATGGAGATGGTTTCAATTAAACCAACGGATTCCTTTACAAACCCGAACGCTTCTCTGACAGGAGGAAGTATGGGCTCCGAGTGCAATTGCTCGGTAAGTTTATCAGTGAATCAGTGGTAACCATTTTATATTGGAATAATTATAGCTCCGTTCTTTTTGTCGGGAAATTCACTAAGGATTAATTAATTGTGACTTTTTTTATGAATGAAAATGTTAGACTTAATATTACTTCAAACAAGATTTATGTTCATTATCTTAACTAACAAACAAATTAGAATCTTTTGACTGAATCTTTAATAAAGGATTATTTTCATTTTAAATGAACAATGTTTGTTATGTTTCTTTTTTGTTTTTTTTTGCAACCGTTTAAGATAATGTCGACTTTTCCATCTTCTATCTCAACAATAAAGATATCGTCGTTTTTCTATCGTGACATTGTCGTATCCTCATAGTTTCCTTCTTTGTCTCTCTGCAACATAAATCCACAAGTCGCTTTAAAAAAGAATCCATAATTAAAATAAACAATTTTCAGTTAGAAAAATTAGAATGTCTCAGTCATCCTTGTTCTGAAAAAGGTTTAAAGGACACCATTGTGATTCCATGTTGCCCTTTAAAAATATAGATTTACTTAAAATAAGGTCTACAGTGCCTTTAACACATCTCTATGAAGGCTGCTCTGATAGCCTGCCAGAAACTAAAGGAGCAGATGAAACCTATAGCGGAGAAGTTAAAGAATCCAACCTGGCTAGAGCTCGTTACTGAATGTTACAATCAAGGAGTGGATCTTAGCGCTAGACATATGTAAGCTACAGGGTGTCCCACGAAATATGCCAGTTGGTAAATAGTTTAGAATGTCATCTTCCATAATTTGTTAAGTTGTTAAGTTGTTTGATACCAAAGTCAATAATAAAAATATTATATAGGAGTCATATTATAGTAAAATTAACTTCAAAGTAAAATATATTTGAGCAAAATATTTGTTAAACAACATAAACTGCAAACAGCTTTTAATATCTAATACAGTGTATGGAAGACGACATTCAAAACGACAACTGTCATGTTTCGTGGACACCCAAGTATCCTTTTTTGACACACAAATATATATCAATCAAACTTCACTGGTTAGAGGGATAAGGTCAAATTTATGCGACATTACTGATACGATTTTCTGATCTCGTAGCTCCCCCAGAATTGATTGTACGCACAAGTAAGATAATTAGAAATTCGGTTACATTTTACAAATTCGGAAATTTTTGTTCTTCTTCTGATAGCTCTTAAATAAAAGGAGTAATTATTGAAAAAATCTAAGTTTTCACTCTAAAATGCAAATTTACTTTAATTTAAGGAGTTATAACATTTCTTTATCAAATTTTTAATTCTTAATCAAAACAGGATCTTTCTTTCAATTAAACAAACAAATGAAAAAAACTACTTTAAAAGTATACAATTTATGAATTCTCTTCTTGGTGGTGTTTTGGGGGTCTTTCATGATCTTTTTCTAATACTAATACTTAATGACTAGACAAGTTATATCTAAGTATGCACACATTATGTATTCAGATAATCTGATTAAGTTGACAACATTAAAGCATTAGAACTTGAAAGCTTGATTTAAGAGTATAAATTAACATTAGAGTGAAGAGAAATTGAAATTTCAAATTTAAAACTTGAATTCCGGAATTTGGAAAATTTTGGAGTAATATTTAACATACTGGAATATAAGTTTTCGAAAATAAGAATTTTTATATCCTGGATATTTCAGGGGTAGGTTTAATATATTAATTATATCCTGGATATTTCAGGGGTAGGTTTAATATATTAATTATATCCTGGATATATCAGGGGTAGGTTTAATATATTAATTATATCCTGGATATTTCAGGGGACACTCGAGCAAGGACGGTCTAATTGGATACAACATTTGGGCAGCTGTTTTAACTCAAGTTGAGGTAACTCACCACTCACTAGGAAAAGGCACTATTTAGCTTAAACCAACTGATATCTAATTCTAACAATAAAATATATTTAAAAATCAATCTACATTCTACATGTCCTTCTCTGATACTCAAATCATTATAATATTGATCACATTTCAATCCTATTAATGTCAGCTGCTTTATTTTGTGAAAACAAACTTTGAAAGTTGAAAAGTAAACGTTTGATTAATAAATAAATGATTTATTCAACTGTTCATGTCCAGGTGGATGTGTTGACCGGAGAGATGAATATAGAAAGTTGTAATCTTATAGAGGATACAGGTAATCTTATAGAGGGTACAGGTAATCTTATCGAGGATACAGGTAATCTTATAGAGGGTACAGGTAATCTTATAGAGGGTACAGGTAATCTTATAGAGGTAATCACTTAACAATCCATCTTAATCCTTTGATTCGTTCGTCTTAATCCGAGGATACTGGTAATCACTTAACAATCCATCTTAATCATTTGATTCGTTCATGAAATTAACTTAATCCGTTGGGCCACCAATGGATCGGATTATTTTTTTTTCAAAATGGATTAACAACTTAAAATAATTCCAACCTCTGGTGAAATTTTCATCATTCAATGATCTGTCAAATGGGATTTGTTAAGCCTGAGATTTTATTTAGCTGGAATTGTACTTGTTTAGGAACATCAATATCTCCTGATGTTGATGTAGGACAAGTAGAAGGAGGACTTATAATGGGCCTAGGACTCTGGACCTCGGAGCAGGTTTAATATAAGTTACTTTAAATCTAAGATAATTTTTTAATTTCGTATTTTTCATCCAGATTCGGTATGATAAAAAGACAGGACGGTTGCTGGATAACTCCAGCTGGGAATACAAAGTGCCAAGTGCTATGGATATCCCGGAGAAGATGAGGATTGAGTTCTATAACTCCGGACACAATCCTGGTGGCGTTCTTGGTTCTAAAGCAACAGGTTCAAAATATTTATGTGTTTTACTTGCAGTACAAAAATAAAATTCAACCGTAGATGGTTAGATAATTATTTCAAACCTAAATGTTTAAATTAGGAATTGGTTCCGCAAAAAAAAAGAAATTTTGTGAAAGAAATATTTTCCAATAGGAGAGCCGAGTGTTCTTGCTGGAGTCTCCGTCCTTACAGCCCTTCGCCAAGCAATCCGTTCAGCCAGACAGGATTCGAACCTACCAACTTGGTTCCAGTTCAGTAAGTAAACCAATCTCTGGGTTCCAATTCAGTAAGTAAACCAATCCCTTGGTTCCAATTCAATAAGTAAACCAATCCCTGGGTTCCAATTCAATAAGTAAACCAATCCCTGGGTTCCAATTTAGTACGTAAACCAATCACTGGGTTCCAATTCAAAAAGTAAACCAATCTCTGGGTTCCAATTCAATAAGTAAACCAATCCCGGGGTTCCAATTTAGTAAGTAAACCAATCTCTGGATTCCAATTCAGTAAGTAAACCAATCCCTGGGTTCCAATTCAATAAGTAAACCAATCCCTTGGTTCCAGTTCAGTAAGTAAACCATTTTCTGGATTCCAATTCAGTAAGTAAACCAATCTCTGGATTTCAATTCAGTAAGTAAACCAATCCTTGGGTTCCAATTCAATAAGTAAACCAATCCCTGGGTTCCAATTCAATAATTAAACCAATCCCTGGGTTCCAATTTAGTAAGTAAACCAATCCCTGGGTTCCAATTCAATAAGTAAACCAATCCCTTGGTTCCAGTTCAGTAAGTAAACCAATCTCTGGATTCCAATTCAGTAAGTAAACCAATCTCTGGGTTCTAGTTCAGTAAGTAAACCAATCCCTTGGTAATTCAATAAGTAAACTAATCCGTGGGTTCCAATTCAGTAAGTAAACCAATCCCTTGGTAATTCAAGTAAACCAATCTCTGGGTTCCAGTCCAGTAAGTAAACAAATCCCTTGGTTCCAGTTCAATAAGTAAACCAATCCTTGGGTTCCAGTCCAATAAGTAAACCAAGTTAACTGGTTCCAATTTTGTGAGAAAACCTATTAAAATTTAGTGAGCAAACCTATTACAATTTAGTGAGCAAAGCTATTACAATTTAGTGAGCAAAGCTATTATAATTTAGTGAATAGATCTGTACAAATATTTCCAATTAAGAGAGTGAGCTAATATCTCTCGTTTCACTTTTATGAATATAAATATTCGTACATTATGTTTTTTAATCTGGAAGTTTACCACAGAAATTTTTAGATATCGAAAGAATTAACGAAATGCAGGGTGTACAAAATGTACGGATTGTACGGAATTTTTTATTTTTACCAAAAAATTGTACGGATTGTACGTATTTTTTTATTTTACCAAAAAATTGTACGGATTATACGGAATGTACGGATAATGTTTCAAATTATACGGATTTTCAGGATTGCTCGGAAAACATCATTAAAAAGCTTATTTTTGCTTGAAAATTTTCTAAAAAAGTCGTCAAAATCAAGTTTAACTTATTATCTTCATTCCGAATTATATTAGGTTGATTGCTGTTTCAATTGACAATCAAAATTCATTCTATCATTTCCAAATATGTTCATTAGAGAATATGTTCAGGAAATACATGGTATCCCACAAAAAAAAACTTTTCAGTAGGGGGTATTTGGTACGGAGGGAACAAATTTCTATGTCTCATATTTTTTTAGTTGCAACAACTTTGTACTCTTTTTTGACCAGATTTTTTAAGAAACGCGAGCTGTGGAATGTACCGATTGATAAAAATAGCTAATGTTTTCGTCTGAACAAAGTTCGTATAAAATATGTCGGTACCATAGCTTTCTTTGATTCATTTTTCAAAATGCCAATTTTATTTTTAGATAGCTTAAAAAATAATTATGATTATTCAAAACCATCAGTTCACTTTTTTTTCAATTGAAGAAAATCTGTCAATTTTTTTATAATTTAAGAAACAATTTTAAAAAATGTAAAAAAAAAACTTGAAAACACCGGGCAATATCTTCTACTCCAAGAAGTTATTGTATTGTGATGGTGAAGTGACTCCAAAGGCCAGGGCGTAGTGACACTTTAAAGTAGAGACTGTCTACAAATTTGATGACTAACTTTCAGAGTTGTCTAGATATCAGAGAAACCAAGCTAGGAACATTCCCGTTGGGCCTCCTAATTCTCTAATCAAAATTTAAGGCAAATCGGTCCAGGGGTTCCCGAGTTATGATCAGACAAACAAACAGACAGACAGGCCTACGGAGATTACAATTTTATATATATTTAGATACGTAAATTTCAGTAATTGAAAAAAATAAATAAGTAGTCAGGAATATGCGGGAACAGTTTTAAAGAGCTCAATATAATCATTTAATCAAAAAACTAAATATCAGAAAGTTGAGAATATAACGACATTTTGTAAATTCTTCTGATTTCTCTTTGTATTTAAACTTAACTGTATAAAACGGGGAATACTGCATGGTAGATGAAACTGATAGATAGATAGATTGGATGGAAGGGTTGAAGGATCGGACGGATGAATGCATATTGGAGATTTTATGTCAGAATCTTCTGTTTCCCGGATATATCATATTTTCCTATATTCAGCAGTTCTTTGTCAGATTAGGACACTAGGAATGCATATATGTATAATCAATGTATATTCAAGGAAAAATGAAAATAGAGTTTGGGAATACACATTTTAGGAATACATGGTTTAGGAATACACATTTTAGGAATACATGATTTAGGAATACACATTTTAGGAATACATGGTTTAGGAATACATATTTTAGGAATACATGGTTTAGGAATACACATTTTAGGAATACATGGTTTAGGAATACATGGTTTAGGAATAAATGGTTTAGGAATACATGATTAAGGAATACTTGGTTTTGGAATACATGATTTAGTTATGCATGATTTTGGAATANAGTTTATTATATTCTAGATGGACCTGCTACAGTTGAAGCTATAAAACTAGGATGCTCTGTAGATGTAAAGAACATGAAGCTACAGTAATCATCAATCAATCATACTTTTATTCTTCTTAAAAGTATAAAAAAAAAACATTTTTATGTTATTTGTAAACTGTTCCGAAAAGTTTTTATAAACTATTTAAAACTAATTTAAAGTTTTAACTATTTCCTCTAAAAGTTTAGTTTTGAAAAAAATTAGTGAAATTTAAATAATTTTGAGCCCAGCTATTATTAATATATAAGTTACCAATTGTTAAAAAAAACTATCTAGATATATTTTTTCAAATATAAGAGAAATATCATCAAAACTGCATTGAAATAATAATCCTTTTTTGCGATCAATAGTTTACCTTTATTATTATTCTTCTTATTTTCATTATTATTATTGATACAGGGTGTCTCACGAAACATGACAACTTAGATTACCCTAGTCCTGTCATTTCCAGCATGTGGTCTGCCTTTTTTAATAATTATCGGTCAGATTTCAATTTATTAAATAACACCAAAATTGTCGTAAACTAAACAAAATTCTTCAATTATCGATCCGGTAATCGTGAAAACATAAAGTATAAACCACATTTTGTAAATGCCATGACTGTGGATGTTGGGTATCTTGTGCTTTTAAAATGAATTCCACAAATTATTTCAAAGATCAAAGACGACCTTTAAGTTTTCTCCCATTGAGTCCCAACTGTCATGTTTCCTGGGACACCATGCTTCTTAAAATTATCGTAAGTATTATTATTACACAAAATTGTTTTGTATACTAGTTAGATGTAAGAACAAACGCATAATAGTTTTCGATCATAAATAACAGAGGTCTCAACAATGAATAAATATGTTGGCAAAGATATCAAACATATTAAATANTATATATTATCGGGAAGTACCAAATACCAAACTAAGATAAATTGAAATAAGGAAATTAGTCGAACCAGATATCCAGATGTCCATGCAAACCAGATATATCATCTAGGAATAGTTGAATAAACAAAAAATGTAAAGCTTAAAGGGAATGTTAAGGAAAATTAAAGGTGGTATAGGCTGAAACCTAAGCAATTTCATAGTTGATCGAGACTTGTAAGAGTTCTTTCTGATGTTCCTGTCTCGAGAAATTTATTTAAAACTGTGCCAAAGTTATACCAAAACGTATATGAGATTTGGTATAACTTTGACTCAGTTTTGTATCAATTTCGCAAGACAGGAACATCTAGCTCTAATAGGTCTCGATCAACTCTTAAAGTGCTTAGGTTTCCGCCTAAACCCCCCTTCTTTTATATCTTGCTTCATATCTACCATTTATTTTATATCTTGCTTTATATCTACCATAGTTTACAGCTTGCTTCAAATCATACGATATAGTTTATATCTTTAAATCTTCCATATGTTTTATATCTTGCTTTACATCATATTTATGTTAAAGGTACTTTATATCTTGCTTTACATCATATTTATCATATTTACATAGAGAAAAAAATCTTAAACCTACAATTTTAGTTTTATTTATAATTTTCTCTAGCACATTAAACATTAAAACTTGAGCGAAAAATTTATTAAAAACTATTCTTACAAATTAAAAATCATGGCTTTTTTGTACATTAAATGTAACATATAGATAGATGTAACGATTTAAAATACTTTTTACGTATAATAAACCAATTACTTAAATATCGCTTATCATTTTAGATTTTACTAATATTACATTTTAAATGTTTGAAAATGGGTAAAAAGCTCATATTTTAAAGCTTTAAAATCTTTTGGCAAACTCCTATATAAAGCAAAAATATTTCCTATTTTTAGGAAAAATCTCTTGAGCGATTTTTTTTAACATTAATTATCATGATAATAAACTAGAACAGCTTGAAATAGAATGAAGGAAACAATGATATTTTCCATAAAAATTTATATTACACATTAATAAACTGTAAAAGTGAAAATTTTCAGACAAGAAAATCTTTCCAAATCTGATTCAACATCAGTCAAAAATCTGGAATTCAAAACAGTTTTCCTTGGTTTTGAGTTTAAAGCTGTACATAGATGATAAACTAAGCTAAAAATAGGTTTATCAGAAGCCGGTTGGACAGGCTTTTAATCAATAAGCAATCACGAGGGAATGATTTTTTATGCTTTCATAACTTTTAATGTTGATTTAGATTTATGATTAAAAAAACATGGCATCCTCAAGACATATACAAAAACATTGCAATTGAAATTCAAACGTTTAGAATATAAAAAACCAAGAATTTGTTTTAAGTTTTTTTTTTGATTAAGTCAAACATTTTGGTTCTAGTTATTTATTTCATTACTTTAAATGAATAGCTAGCCAGTACTCCAAATCTTGTTTTGAATTGTGCGCACATGAAGATTAGTTTTATAATTGGATGCATTAAATATGTACTAGAAAAAAAACATTAGACTTAAGCGACGTACTAGAATTCTTAAATCAGAGAATATAAATAATTGTAAAACCTTCCTATTGGTTGCATCATAATAAATATAATAAGATAAATATTTCCAAAGAATAATTATTTAATCCAAAAAAAAGAATATTCAATATGGAATTACAACCATCATACATATACAGGGTGCTTCACAAAACATGACAATTGAGAGACGACATTTTGAAAATCTTATATCAGTGGAAGTTCTTTTTACACATCCTTTGTCAGTAGATAGCTATCAATGATAAAATACAATCTTTAATTTGTCTCTCTAAAATGTCAGGTACTTTCCCAGGTACTTTCCCAGGTACTTTCCCAGGTACTTTCCCAGGTACTTTCCCAGAGGCTTTTCCAGGTACTTTCCCAGAGGCTTTTCCCCAAGCGAAAACTTCCCAAATGTGCAATTTCCCAAGTCTGCCCCAGCCGTAGCGCTCTACTCACCACAGTTGGTTCTAGCCGCAGTGTTCAGCCTCCTAACCCATTATAGCAGTAGCGCTCGGACATTTGCAGCCTACAGCCCCTCAGAGCTAACCTTTGGGAAGTTGCCGCTTGTGAAACTGAACAACAGTTGGTTCTAGCCGCAGTGTTCGGCCTCCTAGCCCATTCAAGCTCGGCCATTTGCAGCCTGCAGCCCCTCAGAGGGCCTAACCTAACCTTTGGGAAGTTGCCGCTTGTGAAACTGAACATTTGGGAAGTTGCCACTCTGTAAGTTTTCACTTGGGAAGTCCCAATGGGAAAATACATTTGGAAAAATACTTAACACCTCTTAATTATCATGTTTATTGTTTGTATAATTGAAGGATAAATTTATGATTTATTTTCTTCAAGCTTTAATATTTTTGCTTGCCAGCATCAAACCAGAATCTCAATGTACTGAACAAAAAATGATTAAAAAATAAAATATTTCAAATAAAATATATACTATTAATATATCTCTAACATCAGGATTTTTGAAGTAAAGGGAAAGAGAACCAGATATGTACAGTGAGAACCAGAAAACTCTGGAATAGGAAGACGACTTTAGACTCCAGTTATGACTTTCAATATGCCCATAAACATGAGACACTGCAATTGTGCAATCTGACCAGACCTCTTAATCTTAATAAGTGATTAAATAAGTTGCTAGTAAACCTATTTGCTTTATAACAAAATCAAATAAACATAAGTATTGCTATAATGTCGTCTTCCTATTCCACAGTTATCTGGTGCTCACTGTGTAAAGTTTTAAGACTCAAAGTTTAATATAATCAGAATTCAAGCCTGAGCATCAGAGAAGTGATGCCAGAGGTAACACTAGAATACTAAAGTGAATCTCATTATATTCACTACAGTACTTGAACCTTGCTCCCTCACTACCTCATTCCTTTAATAAAACCTTGTTTTATATTGCTCCCTCCCTTCCGTACTCCTCTATTTTATTTAGTTTAGATCATACTTCTATACCTTATGCTGTAAATCTTGCTCCCTCACTCCTCTACTTTAACTTCGCTCCCTCCTTCATCGAATCCTCACTCACCTATTCTTGTGGAGATCTATCCTAACCTAACCCTCTGTAGAACAGGGTTTCTGCAGAGCGGACAAGCATCTATGCTCTGTTCACAGTTGGAGCAGCTGCAGAAATGACCGCAAGGCAGGAATATAATCTCGCTCTAAAATGGAATAAGAAATTATAAAAAAAACGATAATAAAGCCTTTTAGAAACCTCGGTTTAAAATACTTATGTTTATTGAGCCTAATATTAAAAATCTTCATGTTTCTATTCTTGAACCTAATAATGAAAACATTGATTAATGCAGTATGGTATAGTTGACGTGTATCATTAAGTAAATGTATTATGTACCGCATGTCCCCAGACTACGGTAAATCTTAAGAATATATATAATTCATCTTGATATATTTAGGTTTATCCTAGCTCCTCAATATTGGATACATCCTGGCTTTATAAATACATGTATGTATAAAATATTAAGCATAATAGGAGCTAGGCCATTTTTTATAACCTAAATGCTTTCTCAACCGATCAGTATGTAAAATCATCCTAAATGTTAAAGGCTATTTAAAGAAATTTAGTCTTTGCCACAAACTCAAATTTACTAATCCATGTATCTTTGCAACCTAATGGTCAAAATCTTTGATATTTTAAGCTTAGATTGTTAAATCTCACAGAATTCATAGTTTATTATCGAAGGTCTACGACATTGGGTTGCAAAGATATAGGGATTAGAAAATCAGAGTTTTTGGCAGAGATTTAATTTCTTCATCATCGTTTTTAAGTAGTTTTCAGGATTTATTATATAACACATGCTAAACGAGAGAAAAGGATTTTAAATATTTGCATATATTTAATACACTGTATATACTTTATATTTGTATACTTGTGAAGATGAAAAATGATCTAAAAGATAGGAAGATAGTTCCTTTCTCTGCAGTATTGTATCAGATATCAGAGACAGGGGGAAACTAAGGAATACAAGAGGAACTCCAAAAACAAAGTTTACTGCAGCTTCTAGTAGGATTGAAGGTACAGGAGGACTACCCACAAAGGATGCGACTGTAAAAAACGGCCTAAAACTCTTCAAAATATGACGATCCTCAGGTTAAAATAAGTCTTCTGCCTTAAAAATGGTCTTCTAGTGGTTTATTTAATGTTTTGACAGAGAAAGAAAAATTTAATATTTTAAGATTTTATTAACCAACAATACTGACAGTTTTTACTTACCCAACAATACTAACAGTTTTTTACTTACCCGACAATACTGACAGTTTTTACTTACCCCACAATACTGATAGTTTTACTTATCCCACAATACTGACAGTTTTTACTTACCCAACAATACTGATCGTTTTTTACTTACCCAACAATACTGACAGTTTTTTACTTACCAACAATACTGACAGTTTTTACTTACCCAAAAATACTGACAGTTTTTACTTACCCCAGAATACTGACAGTTTTTTACTTACCCGACAATACTGATAGTTTTCTACTTACCCAAAAATACTGACAGTTTTTTACTTACCCAACAATACTGACAGTTTTCTACTTACCCAACAATACTGACAGTTTTTACTTACCCAACAATACTGATAGTTTTTACTTACCCTTACCCAACAATACTGACAGTTTTTACTTACCCAACAATACTTACAGTTTTTACTTACCCGACAATACTGACAGTTTTTACTTACACAAAAATACTGACAATTTTTTACTTACCCAACAATACTGACAGTTTTTTACTTACCCAACAATACTGACAGTTTTTTACTTACCCGACAATACTGACAGTTTTTACTTACCCAACAATACTGACAGTTTTTTACTTACCCAACAATACTGACAGTTTTTACTTACACAACAATACTGACAATTTTTTACTTACCCAACAATACTGACAATTTTTTACTTACCCAACAATACTGACAGTTTTTACTTACCCAACAATACTTACAGTTTTTACTTACCCAACAATACTGACAATTTTTTACTTACACAACAATACTGACAGTTTTTTACTTCATAAAGAAAAGGATTTAAAATGTCTGGATAAAATATTCTTCACTGAACGACGGATTGTCCTTTAAAGATAATAATAATAAAAAGAAGAGAATATTTGAATATTAACAAGCTATTCAAATTTCATTAATTCTCGATAATGCAGAGTGATCTTTTCTGACACAAGGATTATTCTTTCCAAACTTGTGAGAACTTAATACCCATCAAATATTACAGTTTTTTAAATAAACCTCAGTTAAAGGGATTGAAAACGTAATTTCAAGATACCCTCCTCTGCTAGAGTAGCATGTTCTATTCTCCCGTTAAAGCTTTGTCTGATCAAGAATGAATAAGAAATCAATGTTTTTGTTTTTGAAAACTGTTTATTTTCATTTGTGGTTTCTTTGTAAAAGGGACTAGAGCATTTCTTTCTTTAGAAAACATTTAGATATCAACAGAATATAACACTATAAAAGCCAGAAAAGGGACGTTTTCTTTCACATTAAGGTTTCAAGAGTACTGTTCAAATAGATTGGTTACTTAAGTTTACGAAGAAAGTCTTATGCATAAAGATCGCTTAGACATTCAAGTTTTACTGCTTGCTCTTCAAACTCACTGCTGCTCCCTAGTTTGCAATGGCATACCGTGCAGCTCCCTAGTTTGCAATGAGATACCGTGCTGCTCCCCAGTTTGCAATGGGATACCGTGCTGCTCCCTAGTTTGAAATGGGATACCGTGCTGCTCCCTAGTTTGCAATGAGATACCGTGCTGCTCCCTAGTTTGCAATGGTACCTGT